CTACCGTAAGTGTTCCACAAAATTTTTCGTTTTTTAACCTATTCTTTATTTTTCCTATGTTAACCTTTATCTTTCCTAACCTAACCTCTTCTATATTACTTGTTTTTTCATACCATCATAAAGTTAAGATAGAATTTTTACTACAACATAGTTATGTGTCGTCAAAAAGTGGAGTTTGGGGGTCGGGCTGGTTTCTATTGGAATTAATCCCATATGTTCTGTTGTTCACTTAACGCGGATTTCACTTAACGCGGGACCCTCTGGGTTCAATTGACCGCGTTAAGTGGGGTACAACTGTATAAACCTGCAGCTCTTTAAATTTAAGGTAAATGAAAAATGAAAGTGGGTCCCAGAGACTTGATGATCTATTATGGGCATTCCAAATAGAGCTCACTGTTGGGTATGTTTTTTTTTTTTCAGTACACAAGGGGGTACAGTAGTGTGGCTGGCACTACATTCGATCACCTTCAGTGTAAAGTCAAACACCCATTTACAGATGACTGAAGTGTGGTGTTAGTAACCCCAGGGACAGGAGGTGAGCACTGTACAGTATTTACCCAGCTGCCACACTCTATAGCTTCTGTTTATCACACAAGTAAGCATATATTTACATCTTTCATAGTCATGGTGTACTTGGTAAGCTTTGCTTGAGCATAAGATCACCTTTTCAGAAGCATTGTTCCTCAAGGGGAACAGTGTCATATGTATTTCCTTGTCATTAAAATATTGAAAAATAAAGGTACCGGTATTTTCACAAAACACAGATTAACATAAACAATGACACATAAGTGAGGTACAGTCAGTGCTGCTATAACGCGATAGTTGTGCTCTTGTAAAACCTCACGTTCTAGAAATTCGCGCAATAGAAATAAGAGGGTTTATGGAAAAAATAGGGTTAGGTGCAGATTACTCGAAATAAAAAAAAATTTAGTAGTTAGCCTAACACAAAGGATAGCACAGTCTAAATAAATGTTACATTCATATCTAATAATGAAATCATACAGTAAATGTTACACTTTACCTTGAAAAAATATGAATATAACTTGTTGGGGGAGAAGGTTGATGTTGAGGAGTCATGCAGACAGGAGTTGAGAGTTGTCATCGTCATCATCATCATCGGGTGCAGTTTCGGTTGCATGGGAGGGATGAAAAAAACGTCTAATTCCAGAAGTGGATGGCTGTGGTTCAGTGTCTTCAGACTGTGGTTCAGACTGCTTCTTGGGGGTTAACTTAAAAAAGACGTCTAATGTTTGCTGCTTTGCCGTCATTCTTCTTTCACAAAGAAGCTGTTCATAAGGTGCCAAAAAAGATTTAACACCACGAACTGCAATCCTCCTCCTTTCTGCATTGTAGTCATTGTCTTCCAAGATCTGCAACTGCTTATCACTTCCCTCAGGATAGAAGACAAAACAGAAGTGGGAAGCTCTCGTGGTTTTGCATCCTTGACTTCATCATCTTCGGCATCTTCTATTTCCCCAGCAGCAACAAGTTGTTGTAGATCAGCTGTAGAGAGGTTTCACAGTGGGACTCGAGCAGTTCCTCAACATCAGCACTTTCCACTTCAGCAAAGCCAACTTGCTTTGCAAGAGAAACACAATTTTATTTTATTTTTGGGAGCTCCTCTGATGCATCAAAGCCTGTAAAATCATGAATTAAATCTGGGAGAAGCTTCTGCCAAACTCCACTCAAGCAGTCCTTACTTACTTCACCCCAGGCCTCCACAATGATGTCAATTGCATGCTTGATGTTGAAACTTTTCCAAAACTGAAGAACACTGGCCTTATCATTTCCTTCCTCAGTAGCTGCAATAAGTTTCTTAAATGTATGCCTCAAATAATAGGCTTTGAAGGCTGCTATTACTCCTTGGTCCATTGGTTGAAGGAGAGATGTTGTATTTGGAGATAGAAAGAGCACTTTGATATTGTCAGAAAGCTCAGCAATGGTGGGAGGGTGGCTTGGCGCATTCTCTAAAATGAGGAGAAACTTAGTTTATATTCTTCTTGCAAAAATTTTTAAAAACATTTCCAAAAACATCCACAAGAAGGTCAGAAAAAATTTGTCCCGTCATCCAACCTTTTTTGCTTGACCAAAAGTGAACACCTAGAGTAGACTTTATGTAACCCTTTAAAGCTAACGGGTTGACAGAGTGATACACCAGCACAGGCTTAAGCTTTAAGTTTACACTAGCATTTGCACCCAACAACACTGTCACGCGGTCCTTCGCAGCCTTAAAGCCTGGAGCATGTGCTCATTCTTGGAAATGTAAGTTCTTGTTGGCATGTGCTTCAAGTATAAACCTGTTTCATCCAAATTAAAAATTTGGTCTAAGGTGTAGCCTTCTTCCTCAATCAATTTCTTTACAGTGGGAGGAAACGCCCGGGCACTTGCTTCGTCGGCACTTGCTGCTTCACCACATAACTTTACATTATGAAACGCATAGCAGTTCTTAAAACCAGAAAACCATCCCCTACCAGTACTAAAGGCAACCACATCAGGATTTTCAGCTTTTTTCTTTAGGTCCTCATATATTGATAAGGTTTTCTCTTTAATGGTGAGGAAGTTGGTCCCATATCGCTTTTGCGTTTGATCTTCTATCCAAACACTTAGAAGCCATTCCATCTCCTCAAGTTCCTTTGGCCGTGATCTCACACTTTTGCTAGCACTCAAGGTTTTTCCAGCAATACAGCTTGCTTTAATCTTTGCTGCATTGTCTCTAATGGTGCGTAAAGTAGACTCCTTTATTCCTGTTGCACACACAATATCACATGTTCTTTCCTTATTTTCAAAACGCTTGACAACATCAAGCTTTTCTTCAAGTGTTATAGCCATTCTTTTACGATCACCAGAACGCTTCCCGGAGATATTCTTCTTTTCCATAGTCACAAAATTGGAGACAGAAAGCAAAAATCACTGAGGATGCTTAAAAACTTCCCACGTGTTTCAAACTGATCGTGTGTGTGATGTAAACAGTGCGGGTGTAAAACGCTACATATTTAGTTTTTCTCTTTTATTTAAAATTTTACAAAGTAAATATATATGTAAATTGTAAAATTTTAAATAAAAGAGAAAACTAAATACGAAGCGTTTAAAGTTTACTGTACAGTGTTGTGGCTTGGCACGGGGTTATGCAGTGTTTGTAGTTCACGTTCAACATCACATGTTCAATTGATTTATGTGTTTTTTTTAGTGAAGAATTGCAGAAATAATTTATGTAATATTTATGTATACAGTATACCTGTACAGTACAGTGACCCCTCCGTTAACGAACTCAATCCGTTCCAGAAGGTCGTTCGTTAACCGAAAAGTTCGTTAACCGAAACCATTGTTTCAATGGGTTTTTGGGTAATTGGTTCCAGCTCACCGAAAATTTCCTAAATTCAACAAAAATGGTAGAAAAGTTCACTTACTTTGAGGTGTGTATGTAGAAGGCTCCTGGACGATGATGATGATGATGGGATTTAGAATGGGGGTGGAAGAGAAGGAAGAAGAGAAGGCATTGGGGTGGAAGAGAAGTCACCTCCATGGCGCCATTTCACCCATAAAATTTTAGCTCTCTTGGTGTAATTCAAGATTATTTTCTTTAAATCAACACTGCACTGCATTATATATTGTCAATATGTAAAATAAATTTCAAAATGACCAATAATTGGCTTGGAAACACAGAAAAAAAGCATTTAGTTGAAGAGAGTCTCAAGCAAGATGTTACCTCCAGTGAAAACAGAGAGAGACTAACTCCTGTTTGCTGTGTTAAGAGGCTGGATGCCGCCCATTAAACTAGTCACTTTACCTTCAATTATGTTCAATAATTGTTAAAATGACTAAAAAATTGAATATTAAACTTTTAAAATTACTGAATAGTATAAACTTCTTGATATTTACTAAAATAGTAAGGAATTTAAGCCCTAGAACCGATTAATGTATTGGCGGACTGATACTAAAGCTGGTTGCCCGGTCAGTGAAAGCGAAAACATGTTGAGGTCGGTTCGTAAAAACTTCGTTAACCGAATTTTTTTCGTTAACCGAATTGAAGATCCTTATGGAAGGCAGTTTGTTAATCGAAATTACGTTAACCGAGGTGTTCGTTAAACGAGGGGTCACTGTATATGTAAATTGTAAAATTTTAAATAAGAGAGAAAAACAAAATACGTAGCGTTTTACACCCGCGCTCTGTTTACATTACACACACAAAAATATTACATATACAGGTAAATTATTTCTGCATTTCTTCACAAACAAAACACATAAATCAATTGAAAATGTGATGTCAAACGTGAACTGTAAACACTGCATAACCCAGCGCCAAGCCACAATAAACCGTTCGAGTGGAGTCGCGTTACAGCCAATTAGCGTTGACAAAACACGCGTTATAGCAGAACTCACTGTACTTTCAGAATGCACTGAAAGCGGTGACCAATAAGCACAACTGAAAAACTTACATAATGTATCACATACTCCCAAGAGTGAATTACAGAGAGAAAGAATATGACTTATATGTCTGTGGCCTTTACAGTGCGATTTATTCTTAATTTCCTTATTAGAATTGGAAAAGTAACTCAACAGTGACAAGTAATGACATGCCATATGGCATCACAAAAATTTTGACCAAGTCCCAGGTTGCTGATCTGACTTTCTGCCTCATTTACACACAATTGCAGGGTCTCAATTGTTTCTCTTAATATTGACAACACAACAGTCATATATTGTTTCTCGCATGATTTTTTTTTTTCATTTTGTATTTTTTTGTAGTTCTTTATTATTATTATTATTATTATTATTATTATTATTATTATTATTATTATTATTATTATCATTATCATTATTATTACATTTTCGCCCCCTAGGCCCCGATGTGGGCCAGTGACCTGTGCCCGGGTGGGCAATCCCCGTAAAAAAAAAAAATAATAAAATAAAATCAGTATTACATTTGGCATGTTAGGAAAGAGAAGCTTTTAAGTGATAAATTACCATACAAATGTGAAACCATAATCTGTACCACTTACTGTACTATCCATACGAGCTAACTTAGGGATGGACACAGCAACAAATACCATCAATAGACATGTGATGACAAATTCTTCATCTGGAACCTCTGCAAAAACACCAATAAAACATGAGGAATAAGAAAGGTAAAATTTCTTAGACAAAACATTATTACTGTAAGTTTTATGGTGAGCAAATAATAATGATATCCACTACATACAAGAAAACAGGCCCCATGCACTATACAGTACAGTACACTGACAAGATAGAGGTCCCCAACTTTTTTCTGGGCGGGACCACTTAGGTAGATTTAGCGTATCAGGTAAATTGGCCCGCTGGTCAAAATAATCATCCTGCTAAAATCTCTAATGAAATGAAAGAAGTGATTTACTTTACTTATAATATATATAAAAATGATATTTTGAAGACACAAGGAATTATTAACCCCTTCACTACAACGATGCCACTTTTCACACTTTATTTAGCTAACGGCAGACAATTTTATTCAGTAGAGAGGGAACCTTGTACACCAGTGGTTAAACACAGCAGCATTTCATTAATGCTAATTTAAATAGTTACAATTTGCTTGAATTTATGTACCAGTAATATATTATCTAGAGATGTGAAACATTGAATATACGTCAAATTAATTTGTTTTTATTTTAGGTTAGGCTCGTCTTGTTAGGTTCTGTAAAGTTATGTTTATTTGGTTTAACTGAACAGTATAGCTACTTAATATTTAATAACTTTTTAATTTTTTGTTCCTTGATGGGTGCATGCAGATTAGATCTAACCTGCAGGTCAAAGTTTTGGGACATCTGGTCCATGGACCCAAGGGGCGAGAGGGGAAAATTATTAGACTCGTACGGCTTACCAGTATAATACTGTACAATAATTCTTCAGTCCTTTCTGGGTTACCTTTGTGTTTCACAAAATTCGAAGTTTCCTATATAGTTATACGGTATGGTATTCCTTTTTAGATTCTTTATACAGGTTAATCTCTCTAATCTAGCAGCCTCGGGACCTGACAGGTATGGCCATAGAAATTTATGAACCACTGAACATCAGCTAAAGTCTGGTGAATAAATACCTCTACTCTATTGGTACATGAGAAAAAAGTACAGTACCTTGTACAGATTAATAAAAGTATAAATCTTTAATGTCATTTCACCAAACCTTTGCAATATGCAAAAAACTAAGATTTGATAAATTAATAAAACACACTTTGAAGGAAGACCTAAGCATGAAAATAAAGGGGACAACACACTGTCAAATGTTTATATGCAAATGTGTTCACAACTTATCACTGTACTAATCTCCATCACAACTGAGGAGTAGGCAAAGTGTACAGAACATGTGACATGAATGTGGCAGGGCTCACAGGACTGGATAATTCAAAATATGGTGCAAAAATTAATACACTGTAATGACCTAGGACCATTTTCTCCCAAAAGTAAGATATATGTAAAAAGTAGAATAAATAGAATAAAAATCTGCCCATCACAAAGTCAAACCTGTCTACATGTAAGATTTATATAAAATATTTTAATATCTCAAGTATAGTTTATATAAATATCTTAACTGGTGGGAGTGTACTGAAAATAGCATTTTATTAAATATATTAATAATTTTTCATAAAATCAGCTTGGAGGGAACATTAGTGTTTGTGTACCTTATGTAAGCCCAGTGTGACTTACTTAGCATTACCAAGACAGCCAATCACAGGATGTCAGATGAGAAGAGTTCAACCATTTCAGTTTATTTGCATTATTGTAAATATAACTTCTCTCTTTTTTTTAAGTTCAATTTCAATGAAAAAACAAATTCACTTAGCTAGAAATACAAATAAAACTGAAAACTTAATTTCTTACCACTTTTATGTGACCGTAATACATTTACTAGTGCTGGGTCAACATCACAAGGGTGGCCAGCAGCCGAGGACATCTCATTCACAAGCTAGAATAAAGTATAAGAAAATGACTGAACTGAGACTAGAACAAATGTATTCCTCTTTTTATCAGGTTATCCAAATGTAAGTGCTCAGGTTATATGAATACAAAACGAAATATGTTCATATCACTAGTGAATAATACAATAACTCATTTTAAAAATTAATATTTTCATGTTCTTTACATTACAAAAGGAAACATTAAGAATTAAATCAAAACTAATATGTAATTGGCAAGCACAATGTCATAAAACAAAACACAGCTAGGATTCTCTGATGACCAAAATATAGATGGCTTTTACTACTACACTTTTCAGATACTGTATATAAAATGTATACAATTTAGTCCCTTGCACTTCAAAAGAAAACCAACAAACTCTTGAATACATAATAATAACTGCAACTTCTCATTGGAAGATGATCTATTTTCACTTTTTTTTCTAAATCACAATAATGAAAGGTACTGTATAACAAAGCAAAAGTTATAAAATTAATGACATACTGTACATATTAAGGTAAGTATAAGACCAGGAAATATCTTCCTCTTCTACAACAGAAACTCAATCTACAGCACTGGTACAATAAATAATTAAGATAAATGTGGTAATTTGGTCTAAGAAACATACTCTGGTCAAACAACACCATTTTGGCTATATAACTAACTGGATACAGACATGAAAAAGGTCCAACAAAGAATGGTATGAGACAAGCTTTTTCATATGCACGGAGAGATAAAGTGTGCATATACAATGAGCATGGGGCGAAGACTCTTCAAGTTGTTAAGGGATACATGAGAGGGAACAAGAGTCAAGCAGATCTTCATTATCTAAGATATCATGCCATAAATGGGCAAAAAGATCAGTTATAATGTAGAAAGATTTACGAGGTGTACTTAAGTATATATAAGAAACAGCAGCACTGGAACAAACTGGGAATACCATAACAAGGAAAGGAGAAATCATATGAATAAAAAGGTACAAACATAAAGACTAAAGAGTGGAAGTGGAAATCCCAAAAATTTTTAGACAGGAAATTATACTAAAAGATATAAAAAACAAATATGTATTTAATAGAGAAAAGGAAACTTTCAAAATATATGATATAATTTGTTTTACACCAAAGTCAATAATGAAGGCATACTATTAAATACAAACTGGGGGAAAATAAAAAAAAGTTTTACCTTTGATTCCATTAATATATTTTAAATAAAAAGTAAACAATAAATGGAGTATTAATCCTGAAATCACATTTTATGACCCAACCTGGACCAGGAGGCTCATTTATTTACACATGAAGACAACTGGTTGGAAACCCTAGTGATCCCTAGACATTGGTGTATAGGACTAACTCATGAACTATATAGTATTTCCATGCTAACCTGGCCCACAAGCCACATCCCTCTTCTATAAAAATAGCTGATTGATTCATAGAAAATGTTCGTGTAGCTGTCCATTTATTCTAACTAAATGTATGTTTACAATTGTTAAGCAGACTTGTTATTCTCTAAAATACTGTTAAATATCTGGACAATCAAAATGCAAATGATTACAAGGCATTAGGCCGCGGCCGCACTGAGAGCGGGCAGGTCAGAGCGGGCAAACGTTGCCACCTCGCGCCTGCTACCAATGGGCCACGTCTATGAGTTACAATGCTGCAAGGATTTCCGCGCCCGCCCGCTCTCAGTGCAGCCGCAGCCTTAGCACTTAAGAGAGCATGTTAGAAAATTTTAAATATTTATCATAAAAAGTCAAGTCAAAGATGAAATTTGCTTACGAATGAAGTCTTTTTGTTATTTCTTTGTTTTGTACCAAATGATACCAAACATATAGGACAATTGGCAATGTATTACAGTTTGTGCCCTTGGATATATCCCAAATCATTTATATAACTGTTAAAACTCGATATAAATACGTGCAGTCTGGGGGGAGGTAAAATGCTCAGAGAAACAGCCACTGGACTTGGCGGTAATTTTGCTCATCTCGACGCACAACAGCCAGCACACGTCAACTCTCAAATGTCAACAGATGTCATCGCTGCGGTACTTAACCAATAAAAACATTTCTCACACACACGAGCAGATAATTAAATACTTCATCCACTAACTTGGCATCTCCCCATCTTAAATGCTACATTGTGACAAGATTTAAGAAGAAATGTAAAGGTTTAACATTTTCATCCTCTGTCATCAAGTATCAAGAAACTTGGTGCAAATGAAAAAAAATATGGGCCAAAGATGGATGAGGTATAGTTACTTTGTGCATCACAGTACAGTATTCCAATGCGAGCTCTACTGTACTGACAGTACGAATCAAGTGTCCAGCTGAGCTGTCACTGTCAGCTGATCACCACGTCGATGTGGTCGTGAAGTCCAGTGGCTGTTCTCCTGATCATTTTACCCCCCCTCCTGGATTGCGTGTATTTACGTATATCAAGTTTTATCAGTTACCGTATTTACCGGCATACAAGAGGCACCACCGCATGAGACGCACCCCTATTTCACAAGGATATTTTGCAGATTTATTTTTTTTTTAGTAAGTTTCGTCATACAATTATCGAAAGTGATTTTAAAGTGGTTTTATAGGGGAAAACATATGTTTTTGTGCATGTAAATACAATATAAACTGGAATCAGTACAGGCAGTTAATCATATACAGTATAGTAACATTCTACTAACCCAACTCTACCTCTGATCAGAGCAGCTGTGTGGCTTGTTTATATTTTGGTCAAGAGAATTACCGACAGGATGTGAAACTCGTATTTTTGGCTGTGATGTTTTGTGTTCCCGCGATCTACCACCAGGGTGTAGCACCATCGCTATCGTCATCGACTCATTGCAAATGACTGACTGGTGGCTGAACTTTCTGTTAACATTTCTTTAATCTTTCTAGGGGTATTTAGATAATAAACAAATGTTTCTTAAAGGTAATACAGTCCTTAAAATAATGTAAGAGATGTATCTGGTGTGGGTTACATATCCTGGGGAAGGAGGTACAGTGAGATGTTGTGAGCTTCCCTCTGCCGTTAAGCCAATGCAACCCATTATTTACATCTGCAAATTTGCCATAAGTTTGTGATAATAGATTGTGATCATTTGGCTTGTTTTTCAGTATTCATTATGAGTAATATTATTAGTAACAAAATTTTTTTGCTTAGTGGACTACTGCTTGTCCCAGACTACCTAGCTAGGCACCTCCACGTCCCATCCGTAATATGGGAGCATTAGACGCAGGGTAATTTCGGATACATTTAAAAAATAAATAAAAATACGTCTTATACGCCAGTAAATACAGTATATAAATGATTTGGGATATATCCAGCTGCACAAACTGTAGTACAATGCCCATTGTGCTATATGTTATGTATCATTTGTTTATGTTTGCTTTATGTTTGGTACAAAACAAAGAAATAATGAAGACTTCATTCAAAGGCAAATTTCATCTTTGACCTATTATGATAAATATTTAAAATTTTCTAACATCCTCTCTGAAGTGCTAATGCTTTGAAATCATTTGTATTTTGATAGTCCAAATATTTAACATTATTTTAGAGAATAACAAGTCTGCTTAACAATTGTGAATGCATTTAGTTTGATTTAATGGACAGCTGCAAGAGCATTTTCTAAGAACTAATCAGCTATTTGTAGCTATAGGGATGTGGCTTACAGGTCAGGTTAGCGTGGAAATAGTATAATAACATATTCTCACTATAATGAATGCCTTGAAAAGGATCATTTATGAAACAATTCTCCATTCAAGGTAAATGGTTCAAGCTATGACATCACACTAGCCTCTGTGCACCATGACTGTCATCTGTAGCAGTCAGGAGCTGTCATTTTAGGCTTCACTTCTTAAATATTCACAGCAATAAAGGAGGGCAACCAAATTGCCTGGTCCATGCTCAGTCATAAAATGGAGTTTCTAGATCAATCCTCTATTTATGACCTAACACCTGGAGGACTGTGGCAAAAATAAGCTTGATAGGTTAATAGGACACACACCCCAATAGGGGTTTTAACCTTATAAACTTTTAATTAATAAAAATTCAGTAATCCTATCAAAGAATATCTTGTCTTGTCTTGTCTTGTCTTTGGAATATTGTCATCTTTGGTACCAATTCTTGGTTGAAGTTAGTAAATCTTTACTCACAGGGAGAGGTTTCCATGATTTATTTTAACTCATTATCATTACAGCATGTACTGTATAGCATGAAGCAATTATAAGAGACTTAAGGGAAGAAGAGCATGTATCGTAAATGGCTGACAAAAACTAAAATTTTAAAACTCATGAGAACCACATTCTTCCCAACTGGAAACACCTGTCACGGTTTTGTTTGAGAGGATACAACCGTAAGAATTTTCTGATGATGTGGTGGGAAATAAGATAGACTGGCACAATCTCAGCACATCCCCACACAGATATAACACTACAGTCTCATTTAGTAGTCTCAAGTATTCTCCTTTTCTTTTCTTATTACTATATGAACCTATTATCACTTCGTATCTCATTTAGCGCGGGTAAGGTACTCCAGATTCATTTGTTGCGGCACGGAATATAGAGCACCTCCCGTTCTTATGGGAGTCTTGGAATTAAAAAAATTACAGAGATAACAGAAAACATGCTTTAAACACTGTTCTCACTGACATCCTAATACCTATACACTGCATGTGGTAATGTTTTTTTCTGTAACCGTATAAATACTTAAAAAAGTAAATAATACAGTCTAATGCAAAACAACTGCATGTTAAAATGTTATTGGTCATTTGCTTGTCTGAAAAACTGCTCTGCCCGACGGCTGCATTTAAAGACTCTGTATTTGAATGAAACACGCACTCATTAATCAAACTAATAAGAATTAAACTACAGCGAAAAAATAATTCCTCCTGGCAATAGATTGAGCTTCTTTTCCAATGTATTTTTTGTAACATAATACTGTATTGAAATCTATAATGCAATATGAATGAAAAGCAAATTCATATAAGTTTTCATTAACTAGAGGGTATATCAGAATACTTATCGCATGTTAGATTATTCTGTGCCAATGTTAGTATTTACCACAACCACACCAACACAAAAAACTTCTTATGCTAGATTTATATCACAAACATATGGATGTACTGTAATGTGTAAAATATACTGTACAGCATGTAACTTTGGAAAAATTCATTAGGAAAAGTTTGATACTGTACTGTTGTCTTGTTATACTTGAACATTTTCTTAATACAAAGTTAGATTTACTTTAGTATACTATACAGTAAAATGTGACAAAATCAACTTGTATAAGTAAATAGAATTAAAAGAGCTACTTCTTTCTGGATATATTGACTGGTGACATCAAGCCTAAAGAATATAAATAAAAAACATGGAATAGAGTAATGCACCTCAACAGCACTTTATATTTACACATTACAATCATCACTCAAAATCCTGGGACAATAATTTACAAATAACTCAATCCAAATCATTAATACTGATATTAGCATGAAAAGGTAATGAATTTTGCACAGTATACGAGAGGAATTCTACAACGTTAAAATCCCCCAGTTGTGTTACTGTCTACAAATATCCAACATGTTAATAAATATATAAAAAATATCCCCAAACCAGAAAACAATTAGTAAACAAATGTAGTTTGATGCATAATTGAAAAATGCTGCAGTAACCAACAGGCTTCAGTCCTACTCAGAAGTATCTGTGTCCAATCATGACATTGAAAATGAAGCAACTGAAGAAATCTGAAGGATGTGCAGGCTCTCTGCTGTGCTCCTTCTTAATGCTATTAGCACTAAATCAGAGCAAATTTCAATATCAATAATACAGTAATTAGAAACCCAAGATTCTCACAAACGTGCATAGATGTTGGGGTTTCCTATTTTGACTTGTATATTATTGAGTTTTGAGCCAATTACCACACTACAGCATACATGGTAAAGTACCATCTCCACAACCAATATTATTACTACCAGCACCAATTACAATACGTTTACCATCACCTTTACCACCACCATCTCCCAGGCATGCTAAAAAGAACTCACTCTCTGCTAACCTGGAGCTTAATGTTCTCAATCTGCTCATGAACAACCCCCGCATCACATGGGAAGGAATAGTGTATTAGTATCCTGCAATCCTCAACTCTTTCTCACAGTTTCAAGTATAATAGCATAAGCTGTTTGAACCTCAGATGGAGTTTAAATACATCTCAGGCTCATCATAACAATTTAAATAAGCAAGCTGCACCTTGAAAGGAAATATCAAAAAGGTGTAATTAAACTCATGACATAATTTCATCAAAATTAAGTTGAGCCTAATGTGAACTCCATCAAAAGCTTATTGGACATGATTAGCTACATTAAACCTGATATCAAGTTTCCAAGAAGCCTGATTTTCTTTATAAGAAAACTGCTAGAAGGAAACTGCCTAACAAGCTGATCATAGAGCCAGTGGTGTTTGAGATATTTGTGGACTTTAGTAATGTATGGTAATAGTAGAAGTTACTCGGTATTACTTTACTTTTGGTCATTTATATATATTTTGGAAATAAGTTAGAACCAAGAGCCCAGTACATTAATGAAATTAAGAGTTCATGTACTCGTATTTATTAATTTCTTATGTTTACTATCAATTACAAATTAAATAAACACAATAAAATAAATAAAAGAGCTCAAACATTCTGGCTGAAATTTTTCACATCAATCAATCAGGGGAAGCTATAATGGTTCGTCAATTATGAAGCATTGTGTTATTAAGAAGCAGAACTATAGACTTCCATAATGGATCTGAAATAGTCGAAGCAAAGAATTCTCTTGAGAAAAATTAATACTGTATGCATCAGTTGTAAGAAATTCATGAAAGGAAACAATAAATTTCTCAATGTATAAAACCTGTTGCTGGAAAAATCCATTACCTGCACACAAGGCAATTATATCACTATGTACAATTATCATCAATATACAACAGAGAAGCATAAAAATATAATTGCAGAAAATCAGTACTGTAATGAACAGAGAAATTCCTAAACATGTCATGAGGCGAATTTTTTATGACAGTGTATGAAATGGCATTCTTATTACATATTTAGGGAAAAATTACTTTATCAAAAGACATAGTGTATAAGGGAAAAAGGGGTCTGTCTAATTATTGAGTCCATAACTTCCAATAAACTGCTGAAAGCTTTACACATTCTAAACCATCCTACCTTTTCCTATGATGTAAAAAAATTACCTTTATCTGCAACCTCAACACTTATCAACTCCTCTAGGGATCAAACCTGTATATTGAGGGTTACTTTAAACGTTAACAGTTAGAACAACAGTAATTGTCCCTCCATCCCAACAAAAAGTTGACTACTGTAACTTCCATAACTCTCAAATAGTATATTCAATCTGTTCTAAATCCTAAGAGAACAACATTCACATTAAATATATATATATATAGAGCACATTTCAAACTTCTAGTATTTGTCAGTACAAAGTAGATCCATATGACAAATGACTGCTGCATTACCTCACTCTTCAAGTCTGGGGATAAAAATTGGTAAAACACGTCAGGAAGTAGATAGTAGGCAGCTACCAAACAGGGAGGTACTACCGCCTGGGAAGATATTGGAAGCATAATGTGTTGTCTAATGGTAGACCCTGCTGCTATATGACACCACAAATATTGTGACCAAGTCCCAGGTTGCTGATCTGACATTCTACCTCATTTACACACAATTGCAGGGTCTCAATTGTTTCTCTTACTATTAAGAACACAACATGCTGTACATACTTTATATTGTTTCTCACTCTTGATTTAGTTTTTAATTTTTGTATTTATTTATAGTTATTATTAATACAGTATTATTATTATTATTATTAAAATTGTGTTATTATTATTTTATTTTTATTTTCTATTAAATTTTTTATTTATTTTTATAATTTTTTATTAATTATTAGCATTATTATTATATCCCCCACCCCGATGTGGGTCAGTGACCTGTTCGCGGGTGGACTAATCCCCGTAAAAAAAAATAAAAATAAAAAATAAAATAAAAATAATAGTGCAATCAACACAACCTTTTACACTAAAGTAAGATCTCATATTTTGCGCGATTTCATTTCATTTATATTTTTTATTATATCATATAAATGACCGTAATGGTCAAGTTCTGAGAGCTGCCAGACTGGGATCTGATGATCCCAGTTCAAGTTATGATTTTCTTTTTTTTTTTTACTTGGATGTAGGTGGGTAATCTCTGATTACCTCAGGAAGTTGCAACCCTCCCTGCCTTTTTAGCCAATAGGGTGCTTGGAAGTCCTACATATAAAGCATAGTTCCCACTGTAAAAATGGACTGGCAATAGGAAGGGCATCAGCATTCAAAATGGATTCAGATTTGTCTAACAGCAACCAGGAAACTATGCTATCAAGTAATCATGTCTAAACTACACAAGCATGGGAATGTCCATAAAATAGAGATGATGTGCAACTTATGAATACCAATACAGTACTGTACTTGTGTGTAGACATTTCTACAGGTTGTTTTAACCCTTTCCTGTCATCTTCTATACTTGAGTTGCACTGTTCTCTATAATATTAAGTCATAATATTACACACCTTCTTTAATATTTTTGTACTACATGATCCATTTCACAAGAAAGTAAGAAAGAAGTAATGCACAGTGGTCCCTCGGTTAACGAACACAAATCGTTCCAGAGTCATTCGTTAACCGAAAATTTCATTAACTGAATCTATTATTTTAATGGGATATTGGGTAATTGGTTCCAACTCACAGAAAAGATACATACAAAGTACTGTATACCAGTAACAGAATTAAGAAAACATTAATATAAACTAAATACAGTACTATACTGTACAGTATACAGTACAATAATAAATAAAAAACAATAGAATACTGTATTCTAAGTTACTTTGAGGTGTGTATGTCGTATTACCGGCAGCTTTGTTTACATATCAAACAGTTGATTGTAGAGGCACTCTTTTCAGAGTTCATTGATTCTAATGCCTTCTTCATGTTTCATAATAATTTCTGCACTGTATATTATCAATATGTTAACTAAATTTCAGAATGATCAATAATTTTAATGTAAAAATGCAAAAATATTCAAGAGACCAACAAAATCGATGTTCACTCCACTGTAAACAAAGTTAAACTGAGAAGGGTTGTTGGGTGATTCAATCAGCTGATGGGTGCACAAAAACTGTTCCCTGTACTGTCTATATTATCAATATGTTAACTAAATTTCAGAATGACCAATAATTTTAATATAAAAAATGCAGAAATATTCAAGGGACCAACTTTCTTGATATTTACTTCACTGGAAACGAATGTAAACATTGAACCAATTACTGTATTGGCGGACTAGCCATTCAGCTGATCAGCTGATGAGCATAACAAAAGTGTTTGTCATAAGGAGTTCGTTAATCAAAGTTTTGTTCGTTAATCGAACTGAAAATCCTTATGGTAGCTAATTCCTTAATCGAACCGTTCGTTAACTGAGGGACCACTGTATTAGATATGACGATGTGTCTAACCTTATATCTCTAAAATCTGTATGACAAACTCTAACTTTCCATGCTTGATACAAAAGATCTTCCATTTTACACATAAACACATGCAAGTAATCACAAGCATATATTGTTATATATATTTATATCCCCTGTATTTCCACTGGATTTTTTTACGGTATACTGTATATAATTTACGTCAAGACCAGCCATCTATTATTATCATTTAACGTGTCTGATAGTAATACTGAAATACATTATACTGTACTGTATGTATAAGCTCCATATACCGTATATACTCGTCTATAACCCCCCCTCGTTTATAGGTCGACCCGTATTTTTTAGGGTAATGGAACAACAAAACCTTCAGTAAAAACACTCTACGTCCTATAAACTGAGGCTCGCTGTGCTTGAAACACCGAGTGCCGAAGGCAAATTGTTTACCATTTATTATTACGACACTTTACACTGAAACGAGGGGTAGTTTCAACAAAAATATTGTATTTTTCCATTCAAGTATTTATTCAAGTCAATTAGGAGGGAATATTATTGTAATACAACAGTTTTTTAACTGAAAACCATTCGAAAAGCGATTATGGTAACATCTTTTGAACAACGAAACAAAGCGAAAGTCAAGTGTTTTCGTCATGATTTTATCCCACTTTCCACTGTAATACGTACGTCATTTCAGAAAAAATAATACATTTCCGTGAATGCATTATATCAAGCACAGTATGAATAGAATATCATTGTAATATAACAATATTTTAACCAAAAACTATTAAAAATAAACGAGTAACTTCTCTTGAACATCGGAAGGTTAGGTAAAATCATTTATTTTTGTCATGTATTTTATCCTATTTTACATTAAAATACATCACGTTTCAGCAAAACTACTATTTATTTCCGAGAATATATTCATTCAAGCACAGTTAAGGTAAAATATACATGTGATGTAACAGCTTCTTAACTGAAAACGATTCGAAAAACACGTGTACCGTCTAGCTGATACGCAACAGCTGGTGGTGCGTCATGCGTCGTTGTAAACAATAGGAGGTTGAAGTAGATTACCGGGTATTATATTAAGTGTGAAATATCAAAAAGGTTTTTATTACCGGTATTTTTTGTAGATCAATGAGAACTGTGATACCGTATATGATATGATAAGTTAGCCTGTGCTAAGAACTTCAACATAGACTACTGAAAGCTCGTTGTAAGGTAATTTAGCCTATTGTAAGTTGGTGAGCTTCATCTGCTGAAGGAACTGCACAATTTTTCATTACTAACTGGTACATATTTTACATTTCCATTGTTTACTGGCAGTAACTGGTAAATAGTTTTCAACCTAACAAAACTATTACCCATGTAGAGGTCGACCCCCAATTTTTTGCCTAAAAATTTGGTCTTAAAAACTCGAACTATACACGAGTATATACGGTAACCCATTATCTATTATTCCTTCTCTATTTTATTCAGTATCTATATTTCTGTCAATCTATCCTAATATCTCTTTCTATCCATTATTCCCACACTTTCTCTCACCCTCGCTATTCAACATTACCAAGAAATCAAACTCTGTTATAATAGATGTTTTATCAATACCTAGTGTCATAGACCTTTTGTACTTAATATTTCTTTATGTTAACACTAACCATGGTATCTCCATTGGGTACATGGTGCTTAAAGTCAGCTATAGATGACATCAGATATGGAATGCGATTGTCAAGAACATCAGCAAGCGCTTCCTGAGCCAACTTTCGGAAGCACAGGATGACACCAATTATCTGCATACGTGACAAAACACTGTCTACCTCTGCGGAAAAAAAATATTATGAAGTTGTTGTAACAGGTATTTGGTGACATAATAAAAACAATTTCAAAAGATCATCTCTCTTTCCCAAACAAAACTTAATAAAATGTCTGAACATGATAATCAGATGGTAGCAGTGGTAGAGAACAGTGTTGTGAGTAGTTTAATTTGAATCACTGGAGGTGCACCAATGATGTGAGCATTTTGCTGATGACAGTACTTGGTGAGTGAATAAATTTTGTTAAACTCAATTTGAAATTGTGTGGTACAGTACCAGTTCTATTCTGTATGTCTAGATGCACAGAGACACATCATTCAACTCACTGCCTTGGGAGGGAGAACATGCACACAATAAATCAATCAATATTATATAATTTTCTAACTTTTTATACACTCTTATACCTAACACATACTTATTGCTTTAATGGCATAAGAGAGGTAATAATGGGTGTAGATGGTTGTGGTGGCCATGAGAAGTAGAACATGCACATGCTTCTCGGTTGTATTAATTACAACATGCCCTTATAATTCATGGGTTTTTAATTCGTGGCCTTCGATTATTCGTAGATGACACCCTGGATGTACCCAAGAATGTATGTGGGTAGTTTTAAAGTTGGCGGCATTTTCACGGCCAGGACAGGGAGTGCGCAAGTTTTGTGGGGTCCCGTAAGATATCTCAGTTGTCCCGTGAGGCTGGCCCACGTGCTTGCTCCACCTCAGTTCGGGATAAACACTTGTCCGTCTCGTGTGTGTGCTACTCTAATCTCTTAACAACTGTGCTCCTCGTGCTTGTGATGACTCCCAAAAGCCCCCAACCACTTTCATCCAGCCACAGGAAGGTGCCCAAACAAGTGAAGACAGAAAAGAATGTCATGACCCTACTGGAGAAGATACATCTGCTGGACAAACTTGAGAGTCACCAAAGCTTTGCCCAAAGTGCCCCCTCTTCTGCCAAGGTAGCTGCTAATGTGAGGGATACAGCTACGGTGAAGATGGAGAAAGCCCTGAACATCTGGATTGAGGACTTTAACCGCTGCCACATCCCTCTCAGCCAAAAGTTTATCTGTGACAAAGCCAAGGTCCTGTATGACAGATTCCATGCTGAGGAAGGTGACAAAGGGGAAGTGAGTAGTGAAGGTGGTGCTAGTGCTGGTGGTTCTGGTGATACCTCAAAGAAAGGTTTTAATGCCAGTAAGGTGGTAGTTTGAGAACTTCAAGAAGCACTACAACCTGTACAACTTGAAGATCCCTGATGATTCACCCTTGACAGATGATGTAGCACCTAGGGAGTGTCCTGTGATCTTTGCTGAGATTATCCGGCAGAAGGGCTACAAGCCACAGCAGGTTTTCACTGTTTACAAAACTGGCTTGTGGTGGAAAAAGATGTCAGCAAGGCTGTTCATTTCCAAGAAAGAAAGAAGTGCACCGGGCTTCAAGGTGGCCAAAGATCGTGTGTCTCTCTTGCTATGTGGCAATGCTGCAGGACACATGATCAAGCCCATGTGCATGCAAGAACAAAGACATGCACCTCCTCCCAGTCTTCTACCACCATAACAAGAAAGCCTGGATGACAGCAGTGTTGTTCACCGACTCGTTTCACAACTGTTCTGTGGGGGAGGTCAAGGATTACCTGGAGAAAGGCCAGGAGTTTAAGGTCCTTCTTGTGGTCAACAACTGCCCTGACCACCCCGAGGCCCTCTAAGTCGCAAACAGAAATGTTGAGGTGATCTTTCTGCCCAAGAACACATCATTGTTCCAACCACTCGACCATGGAGTCATCGCTGTCTTGAAGGCCAAGTACATTACCCATACCTTCAGCAGGATACGGCAGGCCTTGTACGACGAAACACGGAATGGTGCCGAGTTAGTGCAGGAAATGTGGAAGAAGTTTTCCATTGCAGACTGCACCTCCTTCATCCAGCAGTGCCATAATGACCTGGCAGCCCTCTGTGTTAACTCCTGCTGGAGGGCCTTGTGGCCAGAGGTAGTGAACGACTTTGCTGGCTTCCCCACAGTCGACCAGGATGTGCAGCACATAGTCCAGCTTGCCCGTCAAGCGGGAGGTGAGGGGGATCAACGAATTTCAGGAGGAAGAAGTGCAAGAAGAGCTCCTGGGTCATGATGGGAAAGAGCTGACCGAGGAAGAGCTGGCCGAGCTTGTCGAGGAGCAATGTCGTGAGGATGAGGAGGAAGAAGGTGAAGTGGAGGAGGTGCCCACCTTAAACGTCACAGGCCTCAACAGGTTCTTGCTGGCTAGTAGAGCACTCGTGGACATGTTATTTGAGACCGATCCCTCTTTCGAGTGATCAATCATCTTCAAGAGAGGTCTGGAGCAACTCCTACTTCCTTACAGGGAAATAATGAAGGGACTCATGCGCAAGGTTGCCCACCCTCCAATCACCATGTACTTCCTGCCTTCATCCACTCCTGCAAGAGAGCCTCAGCCTCCTGTTCACGCTCCTTTTGTTTGTGCATCTCCTTCTGACTCTGATTCCAACATGGACGACCCTCCTCTTGCCGCCCCCAGCTCTAACCTCCCTCCGCTCTCCTCTTTCAAAGCAAATGAGGAGCACTTAGAATTCCCTTGCCTTCATCTTCATTGATATCATCATCATTCATCATTTTCATTATGATATTCATCAGTGGCAGGGGAGAGAGGAAAACAGTCTCTACACAAACTGCCAGCATGAAATGGTGAGTGTTAATATGTTTTTTTTTATAATAGAGTTGTCAATTTTTGTTTATGGGTATATTAACCCTTAAGCTCCAGGTTAGGGTACCACTGGCAGTACCCCCCATGTGGGGGTAAATTAAATTGAGAAAAATTAAAACTTTCCAAAAATAATTTTTAACCTTTTTAAATGATAAAAAAATAAAAAGTAAGTAAGAAAAACTATATATTGACCCTCTAGAAACTTCCCTGACAGTGCTGAGGGAGGGAGGGGGAGGGCTATAAGGTGTCAGTATTGTTTTGACAGCTGAGCTCGTGGTCACCTACGCACTTACCAGCTATTTTTAGCTTGCCTTTGTGTCCAAGATGGCCAATAATGCATATATTTACTGATCATAATACTTATTTGCTATTAATAATTAATTTAGAATATTTTATTTGTATTACTTTTTATAAAAATTGCTTGGCAACACTCGCCAGTCGGTCACCAGGCTGTCTGGCTGTCTTTGTGTTTGGTAGGGCAAATAATGAATAAAATAATAATAATTCCACAAATAAATACATTAATAACATAATCATGGCATTATTTTCTGGTAATACTACACTACAATACAACTACTCTACTTTTAGCAATACTGTACTGTATTAAATTGATACCTGATAAAACAGACAATCAATGGAAATGAAACAAACAAAACTAGGTAATTACGTTCAGGAAGCTTCCCTGTGGCGGAGGTGTGGCATGACAGGCAAATAGTCACATTGGAACCTGATAATCCGCTCTGGGCATTTAAACAGTTGCAGGAAATGGCGCGCATCTTAGTACATCACCTGGGGCGTGCTAGTGGGGCGTCTTAGTATATCACCCAGGGCGTGCTAGTAGGGCGTCTTAGTACATCACCCGGGGCGTAAGGGTTAATTCATTCACTCTAGTAATGACACAATGTTTCTTACTATGTTATCAAAGAAAAATGCATGGTTTACATAATTTGTTTATCAATGAGCCTGTACCATTTTCAAGTTAGACTACAAAATATGTATTTCTCTCATACGTACACTTGGCAACAGGAGTTACTGTGTTTGTTATTTAGCGCGTTTTCTGCTGTTGTAACTCTCCTTGCTCCCTGCCATATTTCACTGGATTTACTGTTATTATTAATGTTTACTGATAGAATAGTGCTTAAGTGATTGACCATGGTATTATAGCTATGTTAGCTCGTCATTGTAACCACCAGGCTACTGGCCCAAGCTGTGAGGTGCTATGGTTGTTTTCAACTCATATTTTCAGATAGATATACAGTACAGTCATTTCTGCTACAATGCGATAGTTGCATTCTTGTGAAAACTCGCGCTATAGAAATTCACGCAATAAAATTAACAGGGCATATGGAGAAAATAGGGTTAGGTGCAGATTATTTTGGCTGTGAACTCACAGATCTACTAGCATTCAAGCTTGTTCCAGCAGTAGTGCTATAGCCTTTCTTTCGTGTTCACCACCAGCAATTCGATCACCAGAGCGCTTCTTGGAAACATTCTTCTTACCTTGCCTTTCCATATTCATGGCTAACACAACAAAATTGGAAAAAACAGCGAAAATCACGGACACTTCACAGAGCACTCGACAAAAACAGTGCGATTCAACTGATCACATAATGTAAACTGAGAGCGCTGGTGTAAACCGTTATTAGTCTTCAGTGCGAAACATTCTTTTTATTTATTCTTTTCATACGGTATTTGTGGGCAACAGCTAAATTTGAAAAAAAAAAAAAAAAATTAGAGTACAGTGACCCCTCGGTTAACGAACTCAATCCGTTCAGAAGGTCGTTAGTTAAAAGTTCGTTAACCGAAACCATTGTTTCAATGGGTTTTGGGTAATTGGTTCCAGCTCACCGAAAATTTCCTAAATTCAACAAAAATGGTAGAAAAGTTCACTTACTTTGAGGTGTGTTTGTAGAAGGCTCCTGGATGATGATGATGATGATGATGATGATGATGATGATGATGATGGGATTTAGAATGGGGGTGGAGGAGAAGGAAGAAGAGAAGGCATTGGGGTGGAAGAGAAGTCACCCCTTGGTGCCATTTCACCCATAAAATTTTAGCTCTCTTGGTGTAATTCAGATTATTTTTTTTAAATCAACACTGCACTGCATTATATATTGTCAATATGTAAAATATATTTCAAAATGACCAATAATTTGCTTGGAAACACAGAAAAAAAGTGTTTAGTTGAAGAGTCTCTCAAGCAAGATGTTACCTCCAGTGAACAGAGAGAGACAGTAACTCCTGTTTGCTGTGTTAAGAGGCTGGATGCCGCGCATTAAACTAGTCACTTTACCTTCAATTATGTTCAATAATTGTTAAAATGACTAAAAAATTGAATATTAAACTTTTAAAATTATTGAATAGTATAAACTTCTTGATATTTACTAAAATAGTAAGGAATTTAAGCCCTAGAACCGATTAATGTATTGGCGGACTGATACTAAAGCTGGTTGCCCGGTCAGTGCAAGCGAAAACATGTTGAGGTCGGTTCGTAAGAAATTCGTTAACCGAATTTTTGTTCTTTAACCGAATTGAAGATCCTTATGGAAGGCAGTTCGTTAACCGAAATTTCGTTAACCGAGGCGTTCGTTAAACGAGGGGTCACTGTACCTCTCAAAAAACACTTCACAAACAAAACACACAAATCAATTGAACATGTGACGTCGAATGTGAACTGTAAACATTGCATAATCCCGCGCCACGCTACACTTAAAACATTGAGGATGGAATCGCGCTATAGCCAACATTCGTCTGCAAAAGTCTGCGTTTTACAAACAGCGTTCCCCTATTCATCAATCACGTTACAACCAATTCGTGTTGACAAAACACGTGTTGTAGCAGAAATGACTGTGTGTAACTTTCTTCATTTATTTTTACTCGGTTACATGCACACACCATCCTACATCCATATTGTGAAAAAAAGTACAGTATTACACCGCAATTACTGACAACCTTCATGTTGGGTTGGCTAGATGGCTATGAAAGAAATTCTGTAAGTTTGATCTACGTATCAACCCAGCCGGTACTCAGACACCATTCGTTCTAGATACAGTAATTTTTAGGAAAAAATTGCCGTATGACAACCCCACAAACTCATCTTTAATAACAAAGCATGGACTAGACTTGAGGGTAGACTCTCACATTTTTTCTACATTTTGATACATTTTGTTGACTTGTTTCTGATTATTTGTGAGAGAATTTTCCCATCATTATTTATTTGTATATGTGTGTGTGTATGTGTGTGTGTGGTAACACACACACACACACATATACAATCCAGGTAAAAGAAATAAGTGTCCCCCCCGTCAGCAAATGATATTAGCGGATTTGGCAATTCACAGCCATTTTCAGACCCAAACCCCCGCAAATTTTAAGGGCATGCTGTATATACATTGTACTGTATTTCTTGTATATATGTATGTATTTCATGTTTTGTTTTTTCTATTTATATACAGAACTTCAGTACAGCACACAAAATCAGCCAATTACCCAAAAGGCATCCCCCATTAATACATTGGTTTTTATGGGAAAATTGGTTTCTCATATTGCAATTTTACACAAAACAACAATTTTCAAGAGTAGAAGCCTTGTAATAAATAAGGACTATATGTAAAAATAATATGAATGATAATAACTTTAAATAGAAAGAAATGTCAGATGTATTACGTACTGAAATTGAAAAGTGTTAAGATCTACACTAAATATAAGAAATGGCAAATAGAAAAAACAAAAAACTGAGGTATTTACCTTATCTTTGGTAACATCTTCAAACAATAATAACACATACATACATACCTACCTTCAGCAGAGATAGATTATAGCATTAGATATTAATTCAGATATGTGCCTTAATAAGCATATAAACAAAGAAGCCACTGCCTTATAAACAAAAACTATCATGTGTATTATACATATGTAAAGGAATATAAATACCATTACTTAAAAAATTATTCCTTTATCTAACATACTGTATGTTTAAAACATAACATACAGAACATCATGTATACGTACGCTGCAATTTCTTGAACAATTCCTTCATTTGGTCAGGTTTGTCAAAATTTGTTCTCATGGAGAGCAAAACTTCCTTGTTCAGAATTACAAGTTTCTGTAAAAGAAGGAAAGAATAAGTAAAATGAACAGGGAAGTAATTGACTATTAAAGTGATCGCCACCATAAGAGACCATAATCTATTTAGTATGGTAGTAAATGGGAGAAAACTTTTAAGAAAATCTAAAAATAACATATAAATTTACATATTCTTTTACATAATTGTACCTTCAATTCCTGAACTTGGTTAGCAATGTGCCACATCAAATTTTCATTTAATGCCTTCATGCCATATGGTCCAATAAGTTCTGCTAATGCTCGAAGCTCATTTATGTCTGAGAATTCTTCAGCAGCAAAGGGCTGGGCTCCCTCAGAAGTGAGAGAGACAAAGGCACGCTGATTGTTGGAGAAGACAATGTGGCCAGCACTCACACGACGTAGGAGAATTTCAGAATACCTGTAAGGCACATACAGCTTTATACAGGTACCTAAAATATATTTGCATGTACAGAGAGGAAGCTGTCAGAGAAGGCAAAGATGGAGTTTAGAGAATAGTTAAGCCGTTATTATGGCATATATATCTATGAAGTCTGAACTCTGGACGCAAGAAGAAAAAAGCAGCTTAGAAGTAACAGAAATCACAGTAGCATGTGTTTGAGTGGGATATGTGGGGTGTGACACAAAGAATAAAAAATAATAAATAAGTTTACAATAAAATAACTCAGATGCAAATATTCTGAGATAAACTTATTCATTATTGACGATTTTTTTATAGTTGCATAAGTTAGAGCACATTTCAAAGTATTTTATTTCAAATATATACTGTACATTTTTAATTAATTTCTTTTGTGCTACATCAAAATCTAAAATGAGAGAGATTTTCGCACCAAGCATTGTAGTGTGCTGTGATGGTCTTCTCCCCATGGCTATCTTGAACCTGAGTCTGCTGCAGAAGGACATTGTTGAACACTCGGGTGATGTCGATGTGCACTGTGATTAATTCTATTAATATATATGCAGTCCAAGATATGTTTTGTTTAACAATTTCACTTTTTCTCTGTTATTTAAATCATCAGAGGTATGTGTCTACCATTTTCACCACACAAGATCAACAGTTGGTTCAATAATAATACTGTATTGGAGATTCACATAACTTTTTACCAATAATTTCTGGAATATATAAAAGACTGTACATCTACTATGTGCTTTTACCTAAACTCTTTCATGACAAAGACTGTACTAAAGTACTCAGAACTAAATTCCTGAACAAAATTCACAAGAACAGGAATGAAAAGAACTGATTACCATACTCACCATAATACTCAACTGTCTGTAAAACACTCATATATGTTTTAACACTAGCTACTAGCTCTGAAGGTTTAGCAATCTCATTGGTGTCAGGATTGTGCATCACCATCCCAACTAAGGCCCGTGTAAACCTGTCAAAAAAAAGTGTGTACAGTATGTTCAAAGTGGAGTCGAAGTCAACCTTTCACTGTACAGTAGCATATAACTGTTAATAAAAAATAAACAAAATTATAGAACAGTCATCATCCATATAAACTTGTACTAAAGGGCAAAAGGCAGCGTTTTTAACATAAATCCATATCATTAATCAATAATAAAAAAAAGAATAACTTTTAACTATACACTTATGTTATAATAGACAACTTAAATATTCAGCTTATAATCTAAGAAAAAAAAATATTTTGTGGGGGCCAAATCTGATGCATGGAAACCACAAACTTCCCAACAATAAATTACCTTTGTTCCAAATGTTGATACAGATATTCTCTGGGAGCAAAAGTATATTCCCACACCTGGATTTGACTGCTGTAATTTATAGCAAAGCAGAGCTCAGTCAGAGCCATATGGAGCTTATCCATCCTGAAAAATAAAAAGGGTGTATAAGCTCAACTGTGATTCAAATATGTCCATACCTTTTGCACAGTTTGGTAACCATGTAAAAATACTTATTATTTTTAAAAGGGGATTAGCCCACCCGGGTACAGATGACTGACCCACATCGTGGCCTGAGGGAGGGAAATAATAATAATAATAATAATAATAATAATAATAATAATAATAATAATAATAATAATAATAATAATAATAATAATAATAATAATAATAATAATAATAATAATAATAATAATAAAAAATAAAAATTACAATAAATAATAATAAAAATAATAATAATAATAATAATAATAACAATAATAACCATAAATATAAAAAGGATGATAAAACTCAGAAAAAAAATTGACAATCATGCTCCATTACTATGTGGGTGGAAAAAAAGAAGAATAGTTTCCACTTTCATAAAAAAATAAATAAAAATAAATTGGAGAAAGAATCTACGGTTTTATATATTAATATCAACATTATAATTTGTAAACTGTATACAGTACAATTACATACAGTGGACCAGTGGTCCCTCAGTTAACGAACACAATTCGTTCTACAGAGTCGTTTGTTAACCGAATCAATTACAGTGATCCCTCGGTTAATGAGCGCCTCGGTTAACGAGTTACCTTCCATAAGATTCTTAACTTAGGTTAATGAGCAATCCCTCGATTAACGAGTTTTTTACGAGCCGACCTCAACATGTTTTCGCTTGCATTTGGCAGTCCACCAGCTGTAGTATTAGTCTGCCAATACAGTAATCGGTTCTAGGGCTTAAATTCCTTACTATTGTAGTAAATGTTAAGAAGTTTATACTATTCAATAATTTTAAAAGTTTTATATTAAATTTTTTAGTCATTTTAACAATTATTGAACATAATTGAAGTATAGTCATGCGCCGGTTAACGTCCTAGATACGCTCTTGGAAACGTGACGTTAACCGAAATGGACGTCCGATCATCACATAAACTTTGTATTTATACTTATGTGTATGTGGAATACTATATACTTACATATACACTTTTACTCTTAAATCACTACTGTAATGTGATACAGGTGATTAATTTTTATCTCTTGTGCAAAATACATGACGTTTATATCAGAATAATTCACTGTTTTACAAGGATTCCAGCAATGCTGGGCAGTTGAGGGAGAGGGAGGGAGGGAGCGAGGGGGCTTGGGGGGAGGGGAGGTAGTACGTTTGACAGTTGGCACCGGCCCAAGGTCTAACGCATGTACCTGTATATACCGCCATCTTGAGAAACGAAAAACGTCTGTAGCTGTTGCCTTCATTGATTTCACTAAAGCATTCGACCTAGTCGACCACAATATAATCATCAACAAAGCTATTGACCTCGGGCTTCGGAGAAGTCTTATACCATGGCTTACAGACTTCCTCAGTGACCAACGCCAAGCTGTACGCTTCCGAGGGGCTGTCTCCACCTTTCAGTCACTCACCTGTGGCGTCACCCAAGGCACCAAGATGGGACCACTCTGCTTCCTTATGCTCATCAATGATGCCCTAAGAGAAACCCCTGCTCGCTGGAAATATGTCGGCGACTCACCATTAAGTCAGCGTCCAACAATTCTGCTCCCAACTATACCGCCCTTCAGGATTTATTGAACAGTCTCCAAAACTGGGCCACCAACAACCATGTCACCATCAACCATACCAAGACCATGGTTATGCACATCAACCTCTCCTCCGACATTGTCCCACCTCCTTCCATTACTTTAGGTCCGAACACACTCCAGGTTGTAGATGCCACTAAGCTCCTCGGCGTCACCATAGACAACAAACTAAATTGGAAACCACACGTCAGTGAAGTTGTCAAATCCTCCAGTTTCCGTCTCCACCTCCTCTGCCGACTCAAGTCCCTCGGAGTTCCTGCACCCGAGCTCCTCAGTGTTTACACAACATTCATACTTCCCAAGCTCACCTATGCCTCCCCTACCTGGTCTTCCTCCCTAAATGCCACACAACGTAAACACCTAGAAAAAGTGCAAAAGAGGGCATGCAAGATTATTCTCTCCCCTTCTTACTCCACATATCAAGAAGCGCTCAACACACTGACCCTTTCGACTCTCACTGACCATCACCACGACCTCATCTGCAAATTTGGTAAGAAGCTTCTACACCATCCTCGACACCAGCTCCTACTACCACCTGAAATCCCTAGCCCGAGAATTGCTGTTCGACACCACAACCGCATCCAGCCCATACGTGCACGAACTGATCGCTATAAGAACAGCCCAGTCCCAACCATTGTAAAAATTATCAATAACTTGTAATAAACCAGTGTATTCACTCCCAGTAAATACTACTTCTTGCACTGTCACTATGTTGAAATGCACTGTAGTTTGAGCTTTTCCACATCTAGTTATTATATATCTTATTTGTATCACTTATGTTACTTGTATAATATTTGTAATTCAAAACCCATTCCCCAAATATGTAACTGTATATTTTCAGCCTTCTGGCTGCCAAGCTCTTTCAATAAACTGTTAATTATTATTATTATTATTATTATTATCATTTACCAGTTCTTAAGTGACTAAGCTTCTCTCTTATAAAAAGCCAGTGAAATGACCTGGGTGAATATAATTAACATTGCTGGGATTCTTGTAAGATACTGATTAATTTGAATATAAACATGCTATAATTTGCACTAGACATAACAATTTTAGTACCGTCATCAAATTAGTACATGTGCACTCCAGCTTTGCACTAAGGTAATTTATTTCGTTTACTTTTCTTTTAGTATGGTGTGTGCATGTAAATGGATGAAAATAAATGAAAAAATTTATGTAAATCTACCCAAAAATGCAGTTGAGAAAATTTATATTATAAATGTACTACAGTACTGTACACTAATGTACAACAATATTTATCTCTTGAGCAAAATATATGACGTTAATATTCAAATTAATCTCTGTCTTGCAAGGATTTCAGCAATGCAAATTATATTATCCTAACTTTAGTCTGAGATATTATATAAAATAAACATAAAGAAATCACCAATCTTTTGTCTGGGAACACAAGGAGGGTGGGAAGAGGGGGGGAAGGGGGGGGGTGGGGGAGGAGGTAAGGTGACAATGTCTGGCGTTTGTTTATTTATTTGAGATAAGATTTGACAGTTGGCGCTGAAGGCCTGCCTGGGTGTTTATTTATCATTACTTAAGAGTGACTAAGCTCTTCCCTTAATTTGCCACCCAAACGACCTGGGTGAATATAACTTACATTGGTGGGATTCTTGTAAGATAGTAATTTATTTGAATACCTGGATAAACAAGCTATAATGACAATAGACATAACAATTTTAGTACCGTAATCATTTAGTACATGTACAATACAGGTTTGCACTTAGGTCCATTGTTACTGTACAATATTGACTAAATTCACTGGATAACGTACGCCTGGCAGCACAATCTATAAGAATACGCGATGAATACGTGACTGTGCCCGCTCTAGGGCCATTTAGGTTCGCTACATCCCATTATTTGAAGCAACTGGTCAGTGTCACAAGTATATACACTACAGTACAATCATCCGTTGGTTATCGCGCCTAATTGGGACCCCGCCGAGTGCGAGATAACTAAAAACGCGATAACGAAAGTACAGAAGCAATGGGATTTATTCTAATTGGTTCCAGGCACCCAAGACCCAACCCCAAGTTTTCCATTTTACGACCATTTAGACCCACTAAATATATATATAATGTTATGGTAAATATCATAAACACACATAGGCACAGCTAGGTTTATTACAAAGTGATGAAAAGGGTACCTCAATACTGTAGTCCACAAAACATGTAGCTATGCTTTTTTTATTTGGTCCCCCATCATACGAGTCCGTTTTCTCTCACATCAAGACTCCTGAGTCCTCCGTTTTCTCTCTTAATCTTAGAGTGTACCAGAGACTTCGCTATTTCTTAGTAATGACACAGAATTTGAAATTGCAACCCCAATTGCAACTGGGGTTGCAATTGTTGAGGCAACTAGATATGTCTGATTACAGCAAATGTGTTATTGTTCAATTTGTAGGTGAAAGATTTTATCCTCAATAGATGTAGGTTAACATTACACCTGGAGGCAAATGCTTAAAAAAAGCCTAAGGAAGGAAGCATATTCCTTTAACACATAATTATCTGACCAGAATGGGGAGGATCAACGTGTCTGTCTCTGTCAGGGGGTCGTGGAGTAGTGGTCCAGCAGGCGTCACGGAAATTTTTTTTTTGGGGGGGGAGGGGGGCACGGACGTACAGTATTACCCCCGCTTTACACAGTTTCACTTTCCGCGATTTCTCATTTACGGTACCTTGCCAGAACCGACTTTCACTTTTCCGCTGCATCTACTTATATACTGTACGTGGTGAAGTATAATTTTTATTTTTATTTAGCTCATAAAATTCATACAAATTACCCGCCAGAATATAATTTACATTGCTGGAATTCTTACAATATGATGATCATTTTGAATATAAAGATCATGGATTTTGCATTAGACATACAAATTTTAGATCTAATGTAATAATTTGGTTTACACAAAGCAAATATTTTATCGTTTGTGCAAAATATATGAAGTTTACATTCAAAATATTCCCTGACCTGCAAGGAATCCAGAAATGTCAATTATATTATCCTAACTTTAGTGAGAGGTATTATTTATTACTAAATGTTAAAATCTAGTGTTTTCACCCAAACATTTCTCAGAGAGGGAGGAGCCAGTGATCTGGGAAGAGGGAGGGGGGGATTTGAGTCCATTATTTGAATGGACATTAACCTGGCGACTGTATTTCTCTTAAATATTAATTGTGTCAGCATACCATCATAAAATTAAGATGTTATTTTTACTACAACATAGGTATTGTATTATTTGGGGGTCGGGCCAGTCTCTATTGGAATTAATCCCATATGTTCTGTTGTTCACTTTACACGGTTTTCACTTTCCGCGGTACCCTGTGGGTTCAATTGACCACGTA